TGAGGTGGTAATTTAAAAAAAAAAAATTGTTTCTCTTTTTTTTTAACCTTTGATAAAAGAGGAAATTTCTAAAATTTAAGGGTTTAGTTCTGAATTTTAGCCATACACTAATAGGGTAAAAAGCTCACAGCAGGTAAAATATATTCCTCTAGTGACATTTGTTTGTAAAATCAAGAATTCAGGAGAAGACCACCCTAATATTTGTGGGGTCTATATCGTGGAACAGCTAATGTACTATATTCGTGACAAAATTGGTCCATACTTTCAAAGTTCCCACGTGTGAGTCTTTTTTGAATCAAAGTCTGCTCACATTAAGAGTGCATTTTCTGATGCTTTGCAGTCTTGATGCTTATTTTCAGTCTTCCTACTTAAAAGTTTAAATTCACAGCTCAGGGATTTCTGGCAACAAGAACTTTGGTGGCTGTGTTGGTCTGAAAAGATGATTTATGGGGATGTTCTGGTTTTATCATTGAGAGGAGCCGGTCAGGATGGTTGTAATTCACACCTGATCTATATGGAAGGGGAGGGGAGGGAGCATTGCCCATCTCAGGTGCCACCTGCACCAACCGGGGACGTGGGGGCAGGGTTTGCAACTGGAATAATCCCTTTGCATTGTATATTCATTCATCCGTTCAGATGATTTGTGGGCACCGTTCTGTGCCAGGGTGCAGTCTAAGCGCTGGGAGAAGCAAGGTCTCCATCTTCATGGGGGACAAACATTTCATCGTTGCATTTACTGGGAGGAGACAATCAATCAATGGGAAAACAAGATGATTTCAGAGTAGGGTAGGTGCTACGGGGATCTCAATAAGTAGGTGGATGTGATCTGGAGTTAGGCAGAGAAGGGGAGACTGGTCGGGACAGGCTTCTCCAAAAGGGGCCGTGTAAGCATAGACCTGAAGAGTGAAAAGGAATCACCATTTGAAGGTCCAAAGGAAGAACTTTCCGAGCAGAGAGGTCTGCAGCTGCAAAGAACCACATCAGGGAAGGGATTGGCAGGTTAAGGAAGGAGCGAGTAGGCTCTTATGCCTCAGGCATGGATAGTAGGGTGAGGGTACGGGATAATGGAGCAGGGAGGTAAAGGCCCAGTCCTGCAAGCTCTATAGACCATGCTAAGGGTTTGGATTTCATTTTTAGTGCAGCACAAAGACACTGCAGGAGTTAAAACAGAACAATGTTACCACCCAATACCTTATTCTTTTTGAGAATAATTCTTTTGAGAAAGAATATTCTCACCGTTCTCTGAAAAACAGCCTGGAGGAAATAGAAGCAGAAAGCCCACTTCCTCACCCTAGTGAACAATAATGGTGGCACAGTCAGTGCGGTGGCCATGGGGTGCAAGGGAAATGATCCCTTGAGTCAATCACTTAGAGCGCTGAGAGGGTGTGCTTAGGAATTAGCCGTCCTGGGGATGCGCAAGCTTCGTGTGGCCAGAATTCGGCAGCGGCAAGGGACGAGATTAGAAATTTAGGTTGGAAAGGGAGATGCTTGCCACCGTGGAGTTTGATCTTGAACCTGAGATCCACAAGGAGGGTCTCCAGAGAACAGTTCTTTTTATTGTGTCTTGGCATAATTGAGATCATTTGCTTTTGTTAAATAAGTGTTCATAAGAATAAACTTGCCACTCATCCACTTTACCAAGATTTACACTTGATGCAATCTTATTAAGCAAATCATCGATAGAGAGAGAGAGACAGATACTCATTACGCACCCAGATCACCCATATTCTGGCTGTCTTTCCTCTGGCGTCAGCTGCCGGTGGCAAACAAAATCACTTAAGTCAAGCAAACGGTTTTAAATGTATAATATTAAAATGTGTTTTTAAAAACTCCTTGGAACCCTCAGCCATCATTAAAATACACTCACTTTGACGGATGCTTTGGCACTTTTTTTATAAAGCTTTTCAATGCATTACCTTATCGGGTGCATGAGATTTAGTCTGTTCTGCAGAAGAAAACAGACAAAAAGGGTCTCTCAGCACGAGTTACTCTTCTGTAAAGGTTATAGTAAACATGTCAATGCCTAATTAAGCAGAAAATTTTATCTGTATTGTGGGGGAGGCGTTTGCTGTCTCTGACTTTTCTTCTGGGGAATCCATTTAGAAGGACAAAGTAGATTGTGAAGCTGAGCTGGTCCGGAAAGCTCAGCTTCCAAATGTCAGCAGGGAAAAAAAACAAAAAACAAAAACACTTCCTTTCTCCTTGTGTGAAAATGACTATATTGGCTGGGCAGATTATGGGGGGGAGGGTGCACATGCACGCATACACCCGTGTAAATACATACACACATGCACACATATTTTACACACACGCACATACAAACCACCCAATAACATGAATTGCTTCCGACCAAGTGTCAGGCCCTGTACTAGGCACAACAAAAACTGAGATGCGTAAAACCTGACCACACTCTTAACCCACTGTGGTGACGGAAAGACCTCTTTTTCCCTGCTAGATTTTTTTCACTGGCTCTGTGTGCGTTGCTATGATGCTGGGATCACATTGCTCATGGATGTGGTAACTGTATGTCTCGGTTGGCCTGGAACAGCCTTGGCTAATGAGTGTTGTCCCAGTTTTTAAGTAATAAAGCCCTTTGAATTCTCAAAAGTGACCCTGTTTGATTGATAAAATTTGCCTGACTCTTTGGAGTATTTTGCTTGGCTCTGTAACAACTCATTTATTAATTTTATAACAGGCTTTCTCCTTGAGCTTAATGATATCACTAACATACCAAATACTAATTTGCAAACATACAAATTAGTCCTGGAACAAGCAAATGCAACGAGGATGAGGGGGGTGGTCTAATTTAGTCATCCAGTTATTTTAAACGGGTTTTTCTTGCAAGAAGTGACCACTGATTAATGGTTGTTCAACTAGATTGAGTAGCTTTTGTTTCTTTAAATCAATTTATGGAACTAGAGACCAGCAACACCAGTTTAATGAAAAATCCACTTGTCAGCTTGCTAGGAAAGCAAAAACACACCACCAGTAACAATACAGTAAATGAGCACAACCACAAAGCTAGTGGCTAAACTGTTTTTACATTTTGTCTTGTTTTATGGTATCATGACTTGTTTAAAAAAATATATATATTTATTTATTTATTTATTTATTTGAGAGAGAGTGTGCACAGGGGGGAGGGGCAGGGGGAGAAGGAGAAAGAGAACCTCAGGCAGACTCCCCACTGAGCACAGAGCCTGACTCAGGGCTTGATCTCACCACCCTGAGATCATGACCTGAGCCGAAATCAAGAATCAGATGCTTAACCAACTGAGCCCCCCAGGCACCCCGTATCATGCCTCTGAAATCATGGGGTCTTGTCTCCAGCATTCCCATAATTCTCCCCTCCAAAGTGACTATCTATTTAGTGATATTTCAATGAACCTTTGACTTTTGGGTCACCGCAAAGTTTTCTTATTGGTGAGGTTGGTCGTAGAAAGTGGAGTGGGGTGGTGAGGACCACGGATTCTCCCGTCAAACAGACCGGAGACATGTCATGATTCCGGGACACTAGCTCTGTGGCCTTGGGCAAATTTCTTAACCTTAGAGCCGCAGTTTTGTCATAGTTCCTACTTCATGCAGATAATCAGACAAAATGAAAGAAGGCATTTGCGGTGGTCAACAGAGCTCCTAGGAGGTAGTAACTGCTCAATGACTATTTACTGAGCCTTCAGAGTTCCTGCCTGGAGCTGCCTTATTCCCAACAAAACCCCCTTCTCTTCTAACTCCCACTGCCTGCCTCCCAGGACAGACCCCCATGCCTGATCTCTCTTTTCCAAGCTTTCTCACTGGTGAAAGGAAATACAGCCCCACCCTAGGGATTCTCCCAAGGGCCCACCTGCACTAAGAGGGGAGAGAGAGGCTCGCAAGGAAAGAAGACATTGCACTGAGATCATGCAAGCCTTGCAAATCTAAGACTGACCCTCCCTTGCTTTGGTACTTCTTTAGTTATATTTTATCCACGTGGCTCTGAAAAGGCCAGGTGAAGGAAATGAACACATGGGCATAAATAGTCACTTTCCCCATCTCTGTTGATGGATATTTGCCCATTAATTCCCTATGCACCCGCTCTCTCATGCCTTCATTTTCCCTATGCAATTACTGGTCCTAAATCCTCTCAGAGAAGGGAAGGCATGCATCCCCAATAGCATTTTGCATCTACAAATCAAACGTATAATTGGCATCTCATGACGGGTACCCACAAATCACAAAGCATTTGAAATTACAGGCAAGATCGAGAGGGCATTTTCAGCCTTGTCTGAAAAGGTCTTCATAAACCTGTTTGAGAATAATAGCATATTCCCCAAATCTCCCATTCCGACACCATTTGCTATTATTTTAAAATCATTATGTTTGCCGAGCTTACATAATTTTTCAGCTATCAATGGAAGATTTTATTCGATACTCCATAATCTCTCTTCCTCCTGTGCGACTCTCTACAAATAAAAATGTTATAACAAAAAGACACTGGCTACCAAAAATATAATGGCGATGCATCTAAACTACCTGTGAGCTCTCAAAAATGATTTTTTTAAGATAATCTTATGCCAGTATGTCCCAGAGTCTTGGGAAACCTTACCACAGAGATGCCAAGGGTCAAGTCTAGTTTTCTTATGAGCCAACGTCCTTCTCTGGAAAGCTGTGTCTTTGTAGGATTTGAATTGCCACCCAGCTTTCTCAAAAGTCCTACCTGTGAATTTAGCGGCTGTCCCACCGTCGGAGCATCGGAGTGATACTCCTTAAACGTGAAAATTATTAACTTGGGATCCTAGGCATTTATGAAGATTTGTGACTCCTGTCAATTACGGAAAAGGGGGGGGGGCATGAGACAGCACAAAAGACATCATTTGGCTTTTTCCCGTGTCCATTGCTTGCAGTTCATGAAAGTGTAGATCCAGTTGCTATTCCGCTCCGTATCGGAAGCCCTTCGTCTAAGTGGGGAACTTGGGATGGCAGATGTCACCTGTCATCTTATTTCGTCTCTTCTTCTTCCCTGGCAGGCTACGCCCAGGAGGAACAGCTGAAGGAACAGGAGGCCATAAAAGAAGAAGAGGAGGAAGAGGAGGACGGGGGTTCAGTAGCTCAGCTTCAGGGCAGCAATGACCCAGGGACAGATGAGGAGCTAGAAACGGGCCCAGAGCAGAAGGGCTGCTTCAGCTACCAGAACTCTCCCGGAAGCCACTTGTCCAATCAGGACGCGGAGAATGAGTCTCTGCTGAGCGATGCCAGTGACCAGGTCTCAGACGCCAAGAGCGTCTGCGGTCGGGATGCCCCGGACCAGAAAGCCAGCGTGCACCCAAAGCTGCCCGGGGAAAGCCACAACTGCATGGATAAAATGACCGCTGTCTACGCCAACATCCTGTCGGATTCCTACTGGTCGGGCCTGGGCCTCGGCTTCAAGCTGTCCAGCAGCGAGCGGCGGAATTGTGACACCCGCAATGGCAGCAGCAAGACTGATTTCGACTGGCACCAAGACGCGCTGTCCAAAAGCCTCCAGCAGAACTTGCCTTCCCGATCCGTGGGGAAGCCCAGCCTGTTCAGCTCGGTGCAGCTGTACCGGCAGAGCACCAAGATGTGCGGGACCGTGTTCACCGGGGCCAGCAGGTTCCGCTGCCGACAGTGCAGCGCCGCCTACGACACCCTGGTCGAGCTGACCGTGCACATGAACGAAACGGGCCACTACCAAGATGACAACCACAAGAAGGACAAGCTGCGCCCCGCCAGCTACTCGAAGCCCCGGAAGAGGGCTTTCCAGGACATGGACAAGGAGGACGCTCAGAAGGTTCTCAAGTGCATGTTCTGTGGCGACTCCTTCGATTCCCTCCAAGATCTGAGCGTCCACATGATAAAAACAAAACATTACCAAAAAGTGCCTTTGAAGGAGCCAGTCCCAACCATTTCCTCGAAAATGGTCGCTCCCGCCAAGAAACGCGTCTTCGACATCAACCGACCGTGCTCCCCCGATTCGACCACGGGCTCGCTGGCAGATCCCTTCTCTTCCCAGAAGCCCGCCGGCCTGCCGCTGTCGTCCAACAACCGCTACGGCTACCAGAACGGCGCGAGCTACACCTGGCAGTTCGAGGCCTGCAAGTCCCAGATCCTCAAGTGCATGGAGTGCGGGAGCTCCCACGACACACTGCAGCAGCTCACCACCCACATGATGGTCACGGGCCACTTCCTCAAGGTCACCAGCTCAGCCTCCAAGAAGGGGAAGCAGCTGGTGTTGGACCCACTGGCCGTGGAGAAGATGCAGTCGCTGTCAGACGCCCCGAGCAGTGACTCGCTGGCTCCCAAGCTGTCTGGGAACTCGGCTTCCGATGGCGCGGCCTCTACCACCGAGCTAAAGAAAGAGGGCAAGAAGGAAAAACCGGAGGAGAGCAGCAAGGATGAGAAAGGCATGAAGCGGGAGGAGTATGAGGACCCTCTGCAAAAGCCTTTAGACCCCACTATAAAATACCAGTATCTAAGGGAGGAGGATTTGGAGGACGGCTCCAAGGGCGGAGGGGACATTTTGAAGTCATTGGAAAACACCGTCACCACAGCCATCAACAAGGCCCAGAACGGGGCTCCCAGCTGGAGCGCGTACCCCAGCATCCACGCAGCCTACCAGCTGTCGGAGGGCACCAAGCCTGCTTTGCCCATGGGATCCCAGGTCCTGCAGATTCGACCTAACCTCACCAACAAGCTGAGGCCAATTGCACCCAAGTGGAAAGTGATGCCGCTGGTCTCGGTGCCCGCCAACCTGGCCCCATACACCCACGTGAAGAAGGAGCCCGACGACAAAGAGGAGGCCGCCAAGGATTGCGGGAAAGAAAGCCCCCGGGAGGAGGCATCGCCTTTCAGCCACAGTGAGGTGGACGCTTTCTCCAAAAGCGAAACCCCTTCCGAATCCCAGAAGGCCGAGCCTTGCCTCCTGAAGGAGGAGGCCAGGCTGGCAGAGGAGGGAGGCGAGCCCGAGAAATGCGCGCCCCTGGAGCCCGCGCCCTCTCTCAGCAACGGGTGCGCCCTCCCCACGCGGGCGCCGGCCCTGCCGTGCATCAACCCGCTCAGCGCCCTGCAGTCCGTCCTCAACAATCATCTGGGCAAGGCCACGGAACCCCTGCGCTCCCCTTCCTGCTCCAGCCCGAGCTCAAGCACAATTTCGAGGTTCCACAAGTCCAATCTCAGCGTCTTGGACAAGCCGGGCTTGAGTCCCGCCCCCACGCGGCCGGCCCCCGTGTCCAGGCGCTACCTGTTTGAGAGCAACGATCAGCCCATCGACCTGACCAAGTCCAAGAGCAAGAAAGCCGAGTCCTCGCAAGCACAGTCCTGCACGTCCCCGCCTCAGAAGCACGCTCTGTCTGACATCGCCGACATGGTCAAGGTCCTCCCCAAAGCCACCACGCCGAAGCCCGCCGTTTCCTCACGGGGCGCCCCCATGAAGCTGGAAATGGACGTCAGGCGCTTCGAGGATGTCTCCAGCGAGGTCTCGACTTTGCATAAAAGGAAAGGTAGGCAGTCCAACTGGAACCCTCAGCACCTCCTGATCTTGCAGGCACAGTTCGCCTCAAGCCTCTTCCAGACGTCGGAGGGCAAGTACCTGCTGTCCGACCTGGGCCCTCAAGAGAGAATGCAGATCTCCAAGTTCACAGGGCTCTCGATGACCACCATCAGCCACTGGCTGGCAAACGTCAAGTACCAACTTAGGAAGACGGGCGGGACAAAGTTTCTGAAAAACATGGACAAAGGACACCCTATCTTTTATTGCAGTGACTGTGCCTCCCAGTTTAGAACCCCTTCTACTTACATCAGTCACTTAGAGTCCCACCTAGGTTTCCAAATGAAGGACATGACCCGCATGGCCGTGGAACAGCAAAGCAAGGTGGAACAAGAGATCTCCCGGGTGTCGTCGGCTCAGAGGTCTCCGGAAACAATAGCTGGTGAAGAGGACACAGACTCTAAATTCAAGTGTAAGTTGTGCTGTCGGACATTTGTGAGCAAACATGCAGTAAAACTCCACCTAAGCAAAACGCACAGCAAGTCACCCGAACACCATTCACAGTTTGTAACAGACGTGGATGAAGAATAGCTCTGCAGGTATGGGTTTGCTCCCAGGTGATGGGACAGTAGCCTTGTGAGGAGCTTCTTGATGGGAGATGGGTCCATTTAGAGGCAGCTCATGTCTCTCAGTACCAAGAGGACAGTAGCCTGCTGGAATAGGACTTATTTGTATGAGAGACTAGAACATGATAAGTCCTAACCATCTCAATGTCTCCCGGTTAGAGTTGGTGGATAGAATGAAATGGGTTCAGAGAGATGGAGTTCACAGATTACCGCTTCGTGGTATGTGACCCCCTTACTGACCCAGGGCCCAACTCTGAAGGTCCAGCCAAGGCTACGCCTCTTTTAATTAATACGTACGGACTTCGTCACTGCCCCGGTTCACCCCTCACCTTCCCATAGCGACGCTAATGACTTAGAAAGTGAGTGAAGGGTGAGCAGCAGAACGAAGAGTGTAGAGTTTCTGGGGGCAGCCACTATGCAGAGATTTCTTAATCAGCTCGTGAACTTTATTATTATTGTAATTAATGCTTTTTGCAGCTTCCTTTCGGGGCAGTTGCTACCTTCCCCTTCCGTTCCTCTCTTTCTTGCCTCCAGTAGGTTTGCTAGGAGAGAGCATCTGCCTTGTAGTCAGATGGCAGGAAAATATTCTCTGCAGAACATTGAGGTGAAAAGAGAGGAAGCTTATTTTCTTCTCTCGTCCTCTGGTTTGCTTTAGGATAGGCTAATATCAGCGTTCACCTTTAACCAAGATAAATGCGCTGCATGCCCTTGAGAGTTTACTTTGCCTAAAGAAACAGATGACTTTCTGAATACCCATCGTCAATGGGCATGGGGTCGGTCCCACTTCAGCTTCAAGATCATTTGCATCATGTATCAGAGAAGTTCTGTGCCTTGTATAGTCACTGGTGCCCAGACTCTCTATGTCACCTCCAGGAAAGAGGACAGAGACCAGGGTCAAATACCTTGGCAGGCTTTGCCACACCCGCCGCTTTCAAATGTTTCCCAGACTGGGTCTTCACGCAATCCTTTCATCTCCTTTTTTTTTTTTTTTTTTTTTTTGTGTATTTTGTCTGCTTCCTTCTCTCTTCTCCTCAGCATGATACCCCCTACGTGCTAGGGACCCCTATACGTACTCAAGCTGTCCTCCACCTCAGGCCCCACCCGCAATGGGGACCTGACCTGACTTAAAGCTTCAGCACTGGCAAGTCCAGTTAATGCCATGCTAGGTGACCGATTCGGTCTTTTGGTTACTTCACAATAAGAGTATCAACAGTCAGTGACAACATATAAGCCCTCACCACCCCATACTGTCAGAGCATTTGTTCCTGAATAGGAGACTTTCACATCAAGGTCTGAGCAATAGCTGAGCTCCAGGCGGAGGAAGGGTACTTATGTGGTGTAGCTTTGGGCTCGCCTCGTGGTCAGGTAGGGAGATTTGCCAAGTGTGAGGATGGTCAAGATGAAATAAAGGGTGAAAATCTGGGACCGTCCCCTTACTGAGAAGATCTAAGAGCTTCCGATGAAGGGGGCATCCCATACTATAACTCTAATGGTTCCGTGGGCCCAAATGAAGACTGTTGTTTTGTTTGCATGTTTTTATCATGATAATTAAAATGTGTTACTAGCAGATTCATCTCTTGCTTTCCAAGCATGATTTGTTCAGCTCACACCATTGAAAGAAAAGCCAAAACTCATCTATTGAATCTATAAGTGAGCTTGGGGCTTGGCAACATTCTATTTATTTGCTATATAACATTTTATACCTTATGTAACTTGCTATTATGCTTTTCTGGTCCTTGAAAAAAAAAAAGGTGGATATATACAGAATACTCAGAGAGAAGAGAGATGTTTCCAATCCCATAGTGGTAGGTCCAAACCATGGTGAAGAGGACAAATAGGTAATGTTTATTTGTGCTACAATAAAGACCAATTTTCCACCTGTTAGGTTTGTAATCATTCTTTGAAAAAAAATTAATATCACTGCCAAAACATTGCGATACATAAATAGAACGATGGGAGAAAAAGAAAGCCTTAGTCAAAAGTCTGAAATGTACATGTCTGTTCTAAAGAAGCAAAGGTAAACTGATCATTTTGGAAAACTTACACAAAAGGCACTTAGCAAATCTGTTAAATACGTAGATAGGATAGCTTCTTTCTCATCCCTCTGCATGTGTACAAAATAAATATTTCTGATTTGGACCTCTGAAGCACCACATCACAGAGCTGTCATTATATGAAACCAAAGCTCCATTCTTAGATAAACACCGTGATGCTGTGCCCCTGAAATAGGATTACAGAAAAACAAGTTTGAGTATTTAAGACTCATTCAAAACCATAGGAGTATACGTGTGTTGTGTGTACACAAAAAAAATGGTACGTGTGCATGGTGTGTTTGTGTTAATACTAAGGATATTACAATCTGCCTGACTAGCTCCCACATTTGCACAGAGGTGGCTTTCTGATCCTCTGGCCACGTAGGGAAGAATTCCTTCACCCTCGAGGTCCTCCCATAGAACAACATCCGTGCAGTACCTTGCCCACTGCTTAGAATTATGCAGCTCTGTTTTTTAAATGATCACAAAATGAGATCGCTGTTATCCGGAACTCTAATTTTAGTCGGTATGCATGATAGCACAAATTGTACAAAATGACATGATGTTTTAGAAAGCATGGTCAAGATTTTATGGAAAATTTGGGAGCTGTGCTATATCTATGTTCTCTCTGAGACGCAAATTTTGGCCTGAATTTCCTTTTCTTTCTTAGGTAGGTCTTAAATCCTGAAAAATGCTCTGCCAAATATTAAAGGCAACTTTTCATTAAAAATTAATTAGATAATGTTAAATGTGCATCCCTATTTTAGGACAGAAGTAATCTAAAACGATTTCAATAAGTATCTGCATATACCTTTAAAAACCACATGCTCTTGAATAATAGAAGTTAAACAAAGAGCAAATCAATGAGTCTAAAATGCACAAGGACTTGAAATTATAGTCATTACTGTGTAATACAGTGTACAAGTTTTATAGCACACCTAGCCTTGAAATCGGGGGCAAGAATGAATTCTAGTCCAAGAAGCTGCCACCTTTGTTGTGGGGGATTCGACAAAAACACATGTTCAGGGTGAACAGCATGTAAACTTGCCAAATAAAATATAGGGTGCCCAGTTAAATCTGAATTTCAGATACACAACAAATAAGTTTTTAGAATAAGCATGTCCCAAACATTGCAAGGGCCATATTTTTACTAAAAAAAAGGTATTCGTTGTTCATCTGAGATTCAAATTTTACTGGGCATTCTGTATTTTTATTCGCTAAATCTAGAAACCCTAACAACATGGATTATATGGCATTCTGGAAAAGGCAAAATGGGCTGGATTAATTAATGTCTATAAGAAGCGTCACCCTTTCATTCATCCATTAAATGAATATTCCTCCCTCCCTCCCTCCCTCCCTCCTTCCTTTTTCCCCTCCCTGCATTTCTTTCATCTTACAACAAACATCAGTTTTGCTTTTACTACACGCCAGCCTCTACTCAGCAATGGATATGTAATGGTGAACCAGCAGACATGCTGTTTATAATAGCCAAACGTGCTAGCCCTGCGGCAAGCGCTTTACAAACATTATTCCACTTTATTCTCACAAACAGCCCTATAAGGTAGGGGTTGATTCAACCGTGTAACAGGGGAGGAAAAGAAGGCAGAGAGATTCTCTGCCATGAATTCCTACAATCTCATAACCTCGCTCATTCATTATCACCTATCCAGAGGCTATCACTCCAGGCCACACACTGCGCTGATCCCGGGGAATAAACCAGTGACCAGAACAAGAGTCTGCCTTTCAGGCTCGCGGTAGACACGCAGATGGGTGGCTCTGGGGTAAACATTGAATGGAGCACACAGGAGGGGCATCTGCCTGATCCCCAAGGGGGATGCTCAGGAGGGGAATGATGGTTTCGGGGGCCTGTGATGTTAGAGCTTCCTCTGGCCGCCCAGGCTCTCGGGCTTGGGTGCAAATCCTAACTCATCCACTCTCTCTAAGATATGGCCCACCTCTGTGTCTATAAAATGGGGACACGGTTCTCCCCTCATAGAAAATTTGTGAGAATTAAATAAGCCTGTGCAACTCTTTTTTCAGAAAGTCTGGCAACTAGTAGGTTCACAGGAAAAGTTAGTCCTCCACAATCCCCACGGGCTTCTACCAACGTTCTTCAGCCTCACCTGAAGTGTGTAGAACCTGTGGGTTCTTCCCAGGTTCTCCCCAAGCTGGAAACCTCAGCTTGCTATTTGATCATAATGATAGAAACTGACAGCAAAACTCCCACTTATGGGCTTCTTCCACCAGCCAGGCAGGGTGATTCATGCCATTCTGATCTTGCAACAAGCTCTGAGGACCTCGTGATTTGTCCACAAGCATACAGCCTGTGCAGAGATGGACTCGAGCCCAGGACTGCTCCGCACTCATCATCTTCTTCTGCCTCTCCACCACCTTGCCTGATGGTTTCTAGGTGCTACCCATGGCCACGTGGACATCTAACAGCCCAGAAAAGGGCGATAACTGTGGCACATGAGCTGGAGATAGGCAAGAGCTCCCCTGAGCTTCTCAGAGGCTCCAGCTGCAAACCGAATATTGAAACTTGGGGGCCCGGGACTGGCCCGCAGGGTGAAGCAAAGCATCCTTGCTCTCCTGACTGTGATGTCCTCGTCCAGTCAGGCAATTAGACATTTACCATATAGCAGCTAACCAAGGAATGACCCGAATTCCAGCGAAAATATACATGTACCAGATTTTTATGTTTTTGATCCTCATCCTGACTCTCATTTGGGGGAAACAAAATGAGAATTCAGAAACAGGGTCAGCTATGAGACTCGCTTATTTCCAACACAGCGAGAAACATATGTGTCATCTGTTTTAATGTTTCCATTTTATGCAAGCGATCTGGCTTACCTCCCTCGCGCATCGCCGGTCCCCCTCTCTGTTGCACTGTCCCCCTCATTGGGAGCCTTCGAAATCTCAATCCTGACGTGTATAATTTGGTGCTTTAATATAGAGTAACATTATTTTTCATTTACTCCAATCTGCCATCAGTATCATCTTTTCATTTAACCAGATGCAATTCTTTTTTCTTTCGCTAAATTGAAAATCCATGAGCGACAGGGAGTGCAATGTTTTAATTAGCTCATATTTTTTATATGGATTTATGTCTTTAAAATACATTTGTGTAATTCTTCAGCTAAATTAAAAACGTCTTTCCGCGAAAGTGAGGAGGGGAAAATAAAGAGCTGAATTGTATCATTAGCTTAGGTAGATACAGATGGAGAGCAGGACCTCGCCCTCGCGGGGCGGGGCGGGGGGGCGGTAGGGAGGACACAGGCAGTTGCTGGAGCTTCTGCCTGGCCGATTCTGAACTCGCCCCTTCATTTAAGGAAATCTTTCTCTATAAAGATTTCACGGAAATGGCTTGAGGAGGGATTTTTTTTTTTTAAGGCCCCTAGTAAGTAAACAAGCAGCTACCGTCAACGAACTAATTTTGAAACCGAACCAGCCACCAAACAAAACAGGTGGGGGAAAAAAAAAGTCATAATGATAAACAGTTTCCCCTGCATTTCTCTCTTTGTCTTTTTTTCTTTAACTATCAAGTTTAAAGCTTTCCACGGTGCTTTTTTTCTACTTTATAGGAGACAAGTGACATTCTGTGGTAAATGGGAGGAAAAGCCATGCAGAACTGAAATCTCTCTAATGCACTGACA